TCTCTATAAGAAATGTAGCAGTAAATAATTAATAAATTAAACAAATCTTGATCATAGGTTTAAATAAGTTAAGACTTTATTTTGCAACTTCTAATTTTGAAGATTATATTTACCCTTAGATAGCTGATACAAAAATAAAGGATTAATTAAAAATTGAAGAAGTTATTTACTTGGTTACATATCTCACAAGGAAGATCAGAGTGAATTTTTAAGCTCCCGCATCGTTATTATTGCTGTAACAATTATATCTATTGACGAAATAAGAAAGCTGTAGGTTTCATGTTCAGAGTAAAATGTTATTAACACCAATATTAGATGACCATAAGTTTGTAGCATATTTACAACAGACCGTTTTTTATTGACCTTTTTATTTGTTTACCTGAATGACCCCCAAAACGGAGTACCTTATTGCAACAATCCGTTCAATAGAGGTTTCACGATCTCTATAAAACAAACGAGAGAAGTTGGATATACCTTCGCCGTTGTACATTCGTGCTATTGATTCCTGGTGTACAAGCAATACATTTTTGAGGCTTCACTACCCCTCTTGAGGGAGTTCATGTTGAATATACTCTATCCCCTACCCTGTCTGCATAGCACAGGTGTAAGGAAAAAAAGGAGGAAAAGAGAAAAGAAATAGCGGGAGTTGCGGAGCCACTGTGGTACCCACACGAACTTCTCAACCTGGTAGTGATTCAATTACCATTAGACTATCCTTCATCGGTCCGTCATACCGGACAGCTTATTCCGATGTTTAATTAGTTACAACGATTATCGTTCGTCAAAGTATCTCATGATGGATCTGAAGGAGGAAGACGATGGTGGCAACGACAGTGGTAGACAATTATTTTTGGTGGGTGCACCCCGTGATCCGTTGGTATCCGCTGGTGCGATCGTCGCCTCCGCTGGTGTGCCAGACGAGATCAACCCTGGAGGAGATCTACAGTCGACGGCTCTGGCTGGTCTGATAGGCGCGCAATCTTCCTCGGTTTGCTTTCCAACAAAATTCTGTAAGTGCACCCTGCCACCCCAGACCTGATTTAATTAACTGGCGCTCTCTCTACCTGTCGGCCCGTAGCAAGTTGGGGCAGTCCTCAATTAAATTATTGCTAAATGCATTAAGCGAATCGGCAGCCCTTGTTTTAAATAGAGTTAGTGGTAATCAGTTTAACAGTTATGAACCATTTTGTCTCGTGTGAATTCAATGTGATTAAACACGGCGCGCGGTGCGCGAATCGCTTCAGGAATCCTCTGATCCATGCCTCGGGCCTTTAGAATCGCGTCGTACAATTCTGTGGTAATATCTTGCAGTTGATACAATAATGAGAGGACTGGATTAGCATTGCCATGCTTTATTGCAGCTTATGATTTTTCGCCGAGCCCGGGAAGCGAGGATAGGCAGCCCTCCGGCGTTGGTAAGAGGAAACAGCGCAGATACCGCACCACTTTCACCAATTTCCAGCTGGAGGAGCTTGAGAGAGCCTTTCAGAAGACACACTATCCTGATGTATTTTTTCGTGAAGATCTTGCTTTACGTATACAATTGACAGAAGCTAGAGTGCAGGTACTGCTAATTCTGTCACTGCGAGATGTAATCAATCAATGAAGTTTATCAGCATGTCGATGCTCACTGTTTCACTAGGTGTGGTTCCAAAACAGGAGGGCAAAGTGGCGGAAGCAAGAGAAACAGTGCAAAGTAACCACTCATATGCCTTCACACTTGCCACCATCGGATTGCCAAGAAGTTCAACAGCAACAGCAGCAACAACAGCCGGATCATTTGCTATTAGAACCACCATTGGGAAGCCCACCGCCCATATATCTTGGCATGGAATGGGCAGGCTTTTCACCATACAGTAACACTGCCACTGCATCGCCTCTTGTAGTTAATAGCATGAACAAGGCACTAGAGTCGGAGACAGATGATAATCCTTTACTGGATCCAGAGCTCTTGCAACTGAAAACTCCACGTTCCTAATGTTACTAATTTATGCCTATACAGTAGTGTAGTGCGTCAATAATATTCCTCCTATGATACAATATAAGATATTTCTTGAATGTCTGATGCGATAATTGTTTGCAATGGCACTTGAATTATGTAATACAGAGTGAAGCAATGGTAATTATCGTTTTAACACTCAGAGATTGGAAAATAATACTAAAGTGGTAATGATTGCTGCCTCACCCTGTACAACGAATAATATTATTACCAGTTCTAATTGAGATTAAATTTAAGGACGAGGGACCAGAGACTTTATCATTAAAAAAAAATTAACGCTAAAAGTACTTTGACTATTGTTATGTAGATTTTGTAAGAATATAGATATAAATTTATTCTTACCGCGGGTTCGATGAATCCCGGACTAAGCAATGGCAATTGTACATTTAAGCAACAGAATCAAAATTAAATTTCTATCTATGGGAGAGAGACCGACAAAAAGATACTGTCCTGACGTAAAATATTAGTAACGTTAGCTTTATTTCGGTGTGCATATATTACAAATCATTGAGTCAACTAAGTTATTGAATCGGTTGATCTTTTAGGAGCAAGTAAATAATTCAGGATGCTTCTTCTGATCTTTCATTCGAGATTCCGTTAGAGAGCATTATCATTGCTCATAGGCATTATCCTCTTCTCTTTTCTTTCATTTATTATTCTTTTATGAAATATGTATACGACAGTCAACTGTACTTTCGTTTAAGTGTTAGCAAAAGGTTTGTTAATATCATGAACGATCAAGCGGAGCATCCCAAACGAAATAAATTAATGATTGTGACAGATGGTACATTGAAATTATGCGACGTACGAATACTCATCTGCCTTGTTCGGCGTGCGCTCGATATACTGCTTATCTATCAGGGCTTCGATACATTTTTTGATCATGCCAATCGAGGGAATGAATGTTATTTTTGGTTGACTGAGTACCTGGAACGTGTACGCCATTGACGTTTAATTATTATAATGTTCTTGTATAACAAAAAGAAACGGGAAAATAAACTATTTTACCTCCTGTACCAGTTGATTGTGTGTCAAAACCTTACGACTCTTCATGATACGGACTATGGCTGCTTGCAGGTACAATTTTCTGTCTTCATCGACACTGCGATGCGTGGCTTCGGTGTCGTTGTTTTCATGTGGCACGTCCCGTTGCAACGGACCGGTTATACGAAACTTCGTTCTCTTATTCGAATAGTCGAAGTTTAGCGACAGGACGGTATCCTCCTCCAGATCTCCTTCCGTAGACTTTTTCAAAATTGTACTATCTACTAAACTAGCTGCATGCTTTACCAGCTGATCGTGCGACAAATGCAGCGAGGCTGCAGCTTCTCGACACTGTATAGAGTTGCAGTGCTCGAACAGAAGCAGCAACGCCATTTGGTACGTTTGCACAATCACCAGGTAGGGCTTCTTCAAGTAATTGAACTTTAGTTCACCTTGGCAAAGGTGATGCAACCAGGTGACCTTCCGACCGTTGAATTGTGCGTGGTAAAACGCCTCGAATGCCTGTATAGATTTTTCTAACTGTTGGGGGATGTGAAATGGTCCTGGCGATGGCGGCAAAGCCAACGGCCACGCACCCGCTTGTAACACGTATACTACAAAACCTATGCGCAACTGGTTCTCCCTGTCACCTTCCCGTAAACTAGCAGTGAATTTAGCGTTCAGGTCTGCTGACACCGACATGTCGGTGAACATTCTATGAAGTTTGTTCGTAAACTCGTATCCGCAAGCTTGTTTCAGACGCTCGATCATCGACTCCTCAGCATCCATCGACTTTGATTGCTGATGGATCAATCGCTTCGCTAGCATACGAGCGTAAAATTTCTGAAATACGTCCTTGTCATTGACGTATTTGAACACAGTGATGCAATTCGCTAGTTTCTCCTCTACTTCCACTTCTGACGCGGCCTTGGCCGATTTTCTCAGCAAAGAGTCGCAGTATTTAGCCAGCTAAAATGAAAATGTGTCAGACGGTGATAGTAAAAACTAATGAAGCTATCATCGAAGAACTTACTAGTTCTGGTGCTCTAGCTGGCTGTCGTGCGACTGTTTTGTGATTCACTACAGCAGAGCAAGCTTTGTCAAGAGCCGCCACAAACATTAAGTCAGCTTTGAACACATCCTTGATTAATTCTGAATATTTTTTATGCACATCCAGCATGGTCTCTACGAATTGTGTGTGTACCTAGATTTATGGAATAATATATTAGTATACAACTTACTTTATGTGCATTTAGCACCATTGTTTCACTCACATTCTCCCCCTGTAAATTTTCAATGGCCTTTAGTCCCTGCTGAATGATGTGTTCGGTAAGTTTTTGTACAATAGGAGTTAAACCATCAGGTAATGACCTTAACAGTGGATACAAGAGCGACAAATCCCTTCTACTTTCATTGTCTATCATGCTCTCTGCTTCTGTATGAAGCCAGGATACACACGTGGCTATCATTTTCTCCTCACAGCACAGTTTTACCTGCAAACCATTGCTATTGAACAACCAACTACTATAAATTAATTGTGATTACATGTGTAACACATAAGGAAACATGCATACTTTAGGCACAGAACTTGCATGAAGGAACTTATGAGCGCGAAGCTCCTCCTGAAAAAGTTGAGACGAAACTTTTTCCATGTAATGCGTTATATTAGACTTTTGTCGCAGGGTAAATGCTTGGCTTGTAAAAAACTGTCCACTGGCCTCAAGGAAGGGTGCTTCAAATATGGTTTGGTACAACTAAAAGAAGACGAACGACTTAATTTCGTAAGTTGAATATACATTTGAAAATATAGCAAATGAAATGTAAATAATTACTTTCATCTTTACTACCCTCGACCTGTACTTTTCAACTTCAACAAAACTTTGTACAATGCCACAAATAACTTCTGTATTTGTTATTTGAGCTTCCCCTACTCTATCTGCATGAATACACTCTAGTAATTGAGATACCAACTGTTCCTTCAATGGTATAATCATTTTTCTTTTCCAAATATCTAATCCGAGTTCTCCTATTTGCAACCGTTCTTGGTAACTAGCAGACACTGCAAAAGATGTGCCATAAATGATAGCAGCCTCTGACAACTTCTGCTTTCTAATGTGGTGTTCATTTAGATATGAATACAAGCAATGTAAATGCTTGGTGCCCTGTGAGTATTCGCACCAAGCACGATGGTATGCCTGCAGCAGACCAGATTCATTTTCAGCAAGTACTGTTGACAACAAGTGGAGAACATGCTTTTCTAAAAACATTTCCGTTTCATAGTATAATTCATTCTCAAATGATTCTGGATAAGCAACACACAAAGAATAAATATCGCTGAAATAAAACATAGATCACTGATTTATGTTGAAGGACTAGTTGACTCTATCAATTAGCAATAAGCACACACAAAATACCTGAATCTGTCATTCCATACTGCACGTGGAACACTAGACAATGTTATTATACTCTCTATAGTCTTTTGCAGTGCATTCCATGTTTGGCTAAAATCAATTTGCTTGGGTTTCAATGACATCCTTTTCCACAATTAAACGAGCACAGAGCAATGAAGCGTATAAATTCTACAATGTAAACACCAAACTAGTAAACCTATAAAAAAACATGATATCAGTGACAATGCAAAATTTCAAACATTTACATAACAACAAAGAAAGGTGACAAATTACGAAGGAGTTCCTTGCTGCACCCGAATTAAGAATCACGCATTTGAAAGACGTTAACAGCCGTGCACCCAATATCTACTCCAAGAATAATTTCGGCTATAGATAAAAACACCAAGTTTGCAACGCTTTGTTCGCGAATTTTCTACATCGATGGTTCAAAAATAACATAAAAGCAAAATACATTGCTGGCGCATTTTCATTTCACGGTTATCCCTCTCCTCCTACCATGAAGTCTTTTTTTGACACCTTTCTTTCGTCGTGCACAAGACCGATTTTTTTCGGTATAGTTATTTTATCGCGACGAAATCGAACCAATTCAGCACACACTCGAAATAGCGCCGTGCAGAGATTTCGGTCCAACGATTGTAAATGTTTTTTAACGATCGTTAAACGTGTATCATTTTTCGAATCGGTATTTCGATCTGTTATCTATCGGATTACACATTTGGATGTGACGTCTCAATTCGATTGCCGAACGAACGATAAGTTACACGCGTTTACGCGTGTTACGAGCTACAGCTGACTGGTACTATATCCAGATGGTCATGATTGGAACCACTAACCAAAAAGTCGTGGAAAGAGTAGTCGTGCGTGTATATAGACACGGTCACTATTCGATCAGGTCGGATCTCTATCAAGAAAAATTTCTCCGATAATCTTAACGTCAGTATCTCGTTAGAATCATGCCCTGTCGCAAAATACATGACATTTATAATGACTCATTTTCATCGAACACATTTTCTCTTTCTTTGTCCCTTTTTTCCTTTCCCTCACGTGTCTTCTTCCTCACTTTTTCAAACTGTTCGCCCCTCGGCAAAAGGACGATGCACCCATGAAGAACTAAAATGTTCTCAATCTCTATAGTGAAGCAACCAATTCTATAGGGCACCCCAAACTGCCTCTAATTTCTCAATAACGTTGCAGAGCCATTATTTGCCCTTTGCTCTTGACTTTCCGGGATTTTGGAGGGGGCGGTAGCGCAGATTAACTAGAGACCTCGCTCCCTATAGAGAATTACTTCATTTTATGGAGTTATATTTTCTTAACTTTTGTCGGTATCTTTGATTTTTGTCACACCAAGTTATGTGACCTTGATATATATTGCATATATACATACATACGTATGTAGGCGGCACCGTTGCTGCATCTTCAAATTTTCATATCTTTTTCTGGATCACTGGATATGTTAGAAGGAGAGGAAACTATGAGCAAAAGATTGGAAACGTCGGAAATTGAAATTGTTGTTGCTATTGAAACAATTTTTAAGAAATTTTTAATTGCGAATTATAAACTTTTAAAAATTATGAATAATTACAGATAAGTAGTGTGTTAACGCACTTGAACAACAAAATACAATGTACACATACTAACACTTCCATGAGATGTATGTATGTATATATAAAGATTTCTGTGGCTATATTCATGAATCTACATGCGGACGCATGCGTACTGAAAATTAATTTTCAAAAAACGCTGCAGTTTCTGCCCTGCAAAAGTATTTTGTGGTTTAAATTTAAAACAAGAATGATATTATGTATATTCTACTTGTTTTCGTACAATACATCATTATTCATACATAACAAATTTTCGAGATCTCGTAATAGTTAAGGTGACGCAGATGATGAATGAAAATAAAAGATAAAAGGTGTATAATATTCTTAAACAATATATAAATAAAAATTAAGCGAAAATGAACAATAGAATACGGTACGTTATGTAATGCTTTTTAATAATAAAGAATCAAATTTACCAGATTATTGCAATATGTAAATGTATGTAAAATTATGTTGACTGTTTGGTAACGAGATTGAACTTCTACGCACTTTATATTCCGTGATCGTGATTCGCGTTCGAAACGGCACTTCAAACTGTATTGGCTTCAATCGGTGTTACATATTAAAAAAAAGCTTTTGAAGATGGTAATTATTCGTATATTAAGCAATATAATTTTTACGCATGTTTCTGATATAAAATAATATTGATTACTATTATACTTTAATAACTTTTAAAAGCTTCTAAAATAAGTCGAGGTTATGTTGCTGTCAAATGTAGGAATGATAGTGCATATTTGTGAGTTGACAGAAAATAGTCACGATTACTATTCAAATTGACTGATTTTTCTTATATGAAACGAGACTTTCACTTGCTATGGATAGATACTTTAATGAAAGTGATTTTTGTACGTTTAACAAACTCCCAAAGTAATAATGGTATGCAAATCTATAGGATGGTATAAAGTTATGTTTTTCTTTTTCAGAGTATTCTAGCTTATAATGGAGGTGCTATTATAGCAATGAAAGGCAAGAACTGCGTGGCAATAGCTGCTGATCGCAGATTTGGTATACAAGCACAAACAATAACATGTGACTTTCAAAAAATCTTTGAAGTGGGACCATACTTGTATCTGAGTCTTCCAGGACTTGCTACTGACACTCAAACTGTAATGGAAAGGTTAAGGTTTCGATACAACCTTTACGAATTAAAGGAAAATAGGAAGATTCAGCCTAAAACGTTTGCAGCCATGATCTCAAATTTATTGTATGAGAGAAGATTTGCACCATACTTTGTGGAACCCATTGTTGCTGGATTAGATCCAGTTACTTTTGAACCATACATTTGTAACATGGACTTAATAGGATGTATATGCAGGCCAGGAGATTTTGTGGTCGGGGGAACATGTACTGAACAGCTTTATGGAATGTGTGAATCACTTTATGAACCAAATTTGGAACCAGATGATCTTTTTGAGACTATCAGCCAAGCTTTAGTAAATGCATGTGACAGAGATGCAATATCTGGTTGGGGTGCTGTTGTTTATGTAATGTAAGTTATTTTACATTTTTCCCATTTCTCTCACCTTTTTCTTTGAGTTAATAATTCAAATATTTTTACAGAGAAAAAGACAAAGTTACAACAAGGGTTGTCAAAACAAGAATGGATTAAGCTGATCACACAGAATTACATTATGTATAAGTTTATAATTTGGAAGCACCTACTAAAGAAATGTATACTCTGTTTAAATAAATTAATAATTTTCAATAAATCAGTTGTAGATTTTATCTTTGTTATACATGTTACGTTACAAGCAAAAGATGATGACTGCGACTAATTACTTATGTCGATAACATTGCGAGTGACCGGATGTTTTTAACTTGGGTATTGCTTAGGCTTATTAGGTTATGATTGCTTGTTTAAGGTGGTATCGTCTGCTTGACTCGTATTGGTTTGAAATATTTTTATCAACTATACGATTACATGTAGAATATAATTATAATGATTGCTTTTAATAGATTGTGCACAGCATTCCAGCGAATAACAATCAGTAAACGAGGTGCGTATAGAATACAATTTTTAAATAACCAAAATCCTAACCTAGATTTTTTTCTAAATGAGACTTCTACTATATATATTTATATTTCTTCTCTATATGTATTTTATTTTAATATTTTGTTTAAACAGTAATTGAACTTTCTTTTTAGCTAATGTTATCACAAGGTTCTGTTCCTCCTATTTTTCAAGAGATCAACATAGTAACCTACCTAAAAATTCAATAAGCGTAACACATTCTGATATAAACATTAAATTTGCACCAAGGACGCTCAACATAGATTTTGGAAATCTGGACAATGCTGTTATAAGAAATATAATCGAAGTACCAGTTAAGGATATACCATCGATAGGAGAACCTTTAACACGACGACCAATACAACATGATCTACCACTGACAAATAAAATTTTAGAGCTCCCTACACTAGAGAATGTTGTGGAGAAGCAAGCAATACGTATGCTGGTGATTAGGAAACATAAAATGAAGAAACATAAGAGGAAGAAGCTGCGCAAACGAACGAAATATCAAATGGAAACGATAAGAATGAGACGTAACTTGCAAAAGGAAAAATTATTTCAGACAGAATTATTTGCAAAAGTTCAAGAAGCTGAAGGATTTGATGTACAGGCATACATTGAGGGAAGATTGAATGAACTACTTAAAGAACGCTTACCGAAAACATTTAGGGGTGAAATACTACCACAAGAAATGATTAAGAAATTTTTAGAACAAGAAAAGGAAAGAAAGAAGAAAAGGAAGAATAAATTTCGCTTAACTCTTGATTAAATACATGTACTAGACAAATAAATATTCATTGTACTGTGAATTTTGTATTTGTTTCAATTTTCTTTGCTATGCAATTTTTAATTTAGATGAACTTCCAGTAACTGAATACAGATGAATGTTTATTTCTTAATAATACATCTTAGTGCTCATTCTAGTGTAGTATCCATAGATGTGATTATATCCATAGATATAAATAGATGTCACATGTAGAAAGTATGGAACATCAACTATTTATTGAATGTGTTCGAAATTATAATTTACATTCATAAAACTTATTGTGTTACAGAAACCCGCATATATTGTCAGACCACGATTTGGAAACATGATTTATACAGTTATTTATTCATTACGTTCTGTCTTTTCATCACATATGTACAATCGTTATATAATACTATGATATAATAAATAGCACCTTTGTTTATCTTTGCGCGGGTGTTCAGAAAGTATGATGCGATCCTCGAGAAATGTACATTCATTCGCGAGTATACCTGACGTTTTCAAATGGCTTGCAATATTTCGTTTCTATAAAAATATATAGCATCTCTTTTCCGAGAAGCAAACACGATTTAAATTATAGTCTTTAGTCAATAAATACATTTAGTCGTAAAGTAAAATTATCCTAGCTAAAAATGAGAAAAAGAGTATCGATAGCCAAGTCTTAATATCATGCAATTGACTTTATGATCGTGTCCTCAAGTCTCTTGATCTGCCCTACTGTCTTGTTCCAAGACGAACTTCTCCGCAACATTGTTCTCTGTTAAAAGTACATAAAAAAACTATAGTTCCTTTCAGCGTTCGAAAAGTAAAACGACGCCAAATCAACACACACACACATCTATCTCTGCTCAATGGAAGACAGACTGCGATCTACTTGCATCGATATCAAAAAACAATGTTCTTCTAGGGTAGTACTTGACCCTTCTTCACTTCTAACACCTTTGGTTTGTTTATACTGCCGGTTCTTAAGTTGCTATTTCTACCAGAAAAATAGTCCTCTATCTCCTGAAGCGTTTTACCTTTTGTTTCTGGTAAACAGAGGTAGAAGTATATTGTACCGAACAAAGATATACAGCCGTATAGAATGAAAGTACCATGCCGAGTAATAGCGCTAGCTAAGAACGGATATGTTTTCACCACAGTAAAAATAAAGGAATGGGCTGCCATGGTAGTTAGGCCACCGATGATGCCGCGCACTTGTACCGGGTATACTTCTCCTATCATCACCCAAGGTATAACAAGGAAACCAAGGGTGCAAGTTATGGTGTACGAGAATATGCATAGGATAGGGAACCAAGTGGCGATAAGCGGCAAATTGTTCACAGTCCAATAATTTTTCAGCCACATGTATCCACCTAATCCTATCATGGACAATCCACATCCAACAGACGAGACCATTGTCAGAGGTCTTCTTCCGCATCTCCTGCACAAGATGCAGGCCACAATGGTAGACGCTAATCTTACACCACCGAGGATCACCGCGGCTAAGTACTTGTCTAATGACGACCCTGAGTCTTTAAAGATTTCTACAGCGTAGAAGGTAATTACGTTCGTACCCGACCATTGATATATCAGGAAGTATAAGAATAACAAGGTAAACGGTTTCAGGGCGTTCGGTTTTAAAAGGGCGCTCGTTATCTCACGGAATCCTGTCAGACGTTTGATGTTGTTCTTATTTGAGAAATTGATAAGTGTCTCCATTTCTTGGTTAATGTTGCAATTGTTGCCGCGGAATTGTTGCAGAGCTTCTCGGGCTTTTTCTGGCCTACTGCGAGATATGAGATAGGATGGCGTTTCAGGGAATAAGAACATCAGCATCAGGGCCGCGAGAGGGATAATTCCACTGATAGCTGCACAAATGTTCCAGCTGAGCATACTACCCAACGCGTACTCAATCAAGACGCCCGTGCTCACTCCAATACTGGCAAAAGCGGTCAACATCCCCCTGAGATGAGGCTGAGTGACTTCTCCGGTATAAACTCTTGCTGGCGCACCCACCATGCCTGATCCAAGGCCCACAAAGAACCTTCCGGCATATATCATGCGAATATCGGTGGCGAATGCAATTAATATCCAGCCAAGTAGCGCAGGAATTTCCGTGATGATCAGGGATCTTTTTCTACCAAGAACATCCATCATGTATCCAGATATTAGACATCCAATGGGGGTTCCGATGGAAGACATGCTAGCTGCAAAAATAATTTTATTATTAAAGCATGAAGCATTCTGGGAGCTTTCTTATCGCAGAAGTTTAGGCTTTCATTTTGTTACCTATCCATGACTCCTCGGCCGAATCCGCAACAATAGGAATTGTACTATTTGGTTCTTGCAGCTGTGGCAGAGCAATGGCGGAAAAACCAAAAGTCATGCCCGTGTTGATAGTTCCAAGTTGGGCCACAAATGCTGCTAGAACTTGTCTAGCAACACTCCCCCCGATGTTACCACCTTCTACATCATTATGCGTGTTACTTGACTCTGATCTAGACTTCTCTTCTTCCAAGGGGCTGGATGGTTGAATCTTTGGAAGGCTGCAAGAGCCCATCAAAGATGATTTGTCTGAGCTTTGAATGTCGCCATTTTTTCTGTAACAAATAATTTACATTAGTTATCATAGTAAATGATTCTTAAGAGTATTCAATTTAAGCAATGGCCATTTGACTATTTTCATTATCCGAGGGTCACTTAGGTAGAAGAAATACGGATATTGTGCGTATTATTATAATAGGAGAAATACAGAAACACAGAGCTTTATGCTCATATTCTCTTATCTACCAACTGGGAGATAATGTTTTCACGCAACAGGAATAATTAAGTATGTGTTGGAAACCGTACGTTAATGTCTCTTTCGGACTTTCGACATAACACAGATAATGTACGCCTACACAATTGATTATTAATCATTTCTTTGTTATCATAATCTTTTTTTTTATATCAGCTTGAAACTGAATTTTGATAAGTTCGTATAAAAATAAAATACGCGCACGTAAGAAACAAAACGTTTCGCTGTCGCCTTCCATTGTGCGAACGATTGCATTAATAGGAAGCGTTACTGTCATATAAAAAGAGAGAAAAAAAAGCAACCAAGATAATTTTCAATTATTCTCACTTGGGCAATTAACCGTGAAATGCGATTGTTTCGCAGCAGAAAAACGCTGAAACTTCCGCGGTTTGCGAACGACCGTAGCAGATCGTGTTACCGATGCAATTACAATCGTTAACTCTTTGTGCAAATAGTTTCCCGGTTTCCATAACAAAATGTATAATAATACATAAAAAAGTGACTCAATTAATGAATATTATCCGTTGATCGTATAATTGAAACTGCTGACGATAATTTTATCTGCTTACGCGCATAGACGTCTGTCAGACAAAATAAAATGATTAATTAATTATCATCGTTGCTTATAAAATATGTATATTTATTCAATATTTCTAATATATTAATAAATAAATTATAAATATATCAATATTAATTATATAATAATATATATAAATATATTATATTATATATATATATAATTAATATTAAATATATTAATTTATTCAATATCAGACGCAGATCGTTCACATAACAAATAACGAATTAAACGACATCGAATATTGTCACGGCTCTAGAGAACAATGACCATGTTCGCGCTTCCTACAATGATTCACAATCGCTTCTGTTCCATATCTTTCTGCCTTTTGGACTTTTTAATACGATGGAAGGTTCTGTCGGGGAAACGCATGCTAAACGCCGTCGGAATACGCGACTTTCTTTGTTCCTACACCATTTTGCTCGTCCTGTCCAGCATTGCACGAGGAAAATGACGAGAAAACTGCATTCGACATTATAAACGATCAAAAGCGAATAGACCTTCGCAATCGCGTAGGCGCACGATAAAAGTAAAATATCATCGGTGAATGTTCAACGTTGTTACTAAATAACGCGCGAATAATTCGATGATGCAACGCCGCGAACACGATAAGGCAATAAATAAAAAGGTGCGATTGCTTTCGTATGCAAATCCCTGTAGAATGGAAACAGGAGTGAACGTTGAACATTCGCAGCTTCGGTCGAGCGCAATTGCGGCTCGATTTCTCATAGAAATTTCATTTTCCAACCCGAAGTCGAGACGGTAACGAGTCGCCTAAGAAAAGAGACATCGTCTTTAATCAATCGTCGAACGCGTGTAATGCGATCTTGTTTTTTTCTTCCTAATTCCGTTGGGAAATACGATAAGTTACTCGACAAACGTGAGAGCTTTTTTTCTGATACAGAAAGTCGACATTTTCTATCTATAGCTACACAAAATTAGGTTTTATTATCAAACAGAGCGACGCACTTGAGTAGCCTTAACCCGTATTCCCGCCGATTATACTTCGAAAACCGAAATAAACGTGGAAAGGGTAGGGGAGTGTATACCTCAACGAAAATCGTTAAATGTTTCTGAAACGAAGGCATCAAGATTTCATTGAACGAAAATGTCACGTAACACGGAACGTATCTGTGAAAATTATTCACCGACGAAACTGTACGAAGTGCAATTTACAAGAGATAAAGGAACAAGCACAATTGTGTCTGTTACAGAGATCGCCTTTTCTGGAGATCTCTGTCGGCTACCGTAAAATTTCGAATTCTGGCATTATTCAGAGCCAAATTATTTTCGTTCGTGAAAGGGTTCACCTGTGACACACGTGAACTCTTCGACGCAATTGTCCTTGGTTCCACGGAGCGTAAATAGTTTAATTACATAACGAATGTTTGACAACTAGGTGCGTACAGCGAGGGGTGAACTTTAACACGTTGCGTCAGGTACCACGGAATCGAATATGAAAAGAAAGTGTGCGATGAATGTGATGAAAGGTAGCCAGCGAAACGTAAATTGTGATGGTGATAGCGAGAGAAAGAGGCTAAAAACCGGTCTTAACCCTTTGCACTCGAATGGCGACTCTGAGGCGCCACTAAAAATTGGTGTACCATTTTTCAAAATCATTCTAAGAGCATCGGACTTGTTTCTACTTGAAAAGGAACTATTAAAATTGCATTGTATAATACTTGTCAACAGGCTCAATTTCATGTGCATAAGTCGCAATAAAGTATACAAAATAGAATTACTGTAGTACAGAAATCATGTTTTGGATTTCGAATTCGCATAGCTTCGACCGCAAAGGATTAATAATCGAACAGCAGATCACAAGCTCTTCTTGTTCCTGTATATTAATTAGTTCACGTTATCGACGCGATCGTTATTCGTAACATTTACACGTCCTGTAATGATCGCCGACGTCAACGTGTACGAAAATAAATGTGACCTTTAAATTAACCCGAAGACAAAGTAGTCGTAATTATCAACAAGTTTCAAAATTAATGCAGCAGGTATATGTACAGTAAAGTCAGCTGTCTGTTGCCTGACCATTCGTCAATGACGCTACTCGAGCGTTGCATATTAATAGACTAGTTATATCGAGCTCTATGGCAAATACACTTATCAGTTAGGAACGCGTTCGAAAAACTGTTTAAATGAAGAACGAATGTTTTTTTTTCGAGATAGTAAATATCTAACAACGAACGGCAATAGTAATCGATACTTATTTATGATACGAACTATGAAAAGCCTGCGCAATAGATAATACATGTAATTCACTATTAGCCGTTATCGTGTTAGCTTATCAAGTCTATATGTCATAAGTTTTCTTTCAACTGCAATTAAAAAATAATAGCTGTGGCGTTTTCGTTGCGTTTTTCTTGATAGTGCAACGAAGAGAATTTTTTTGAAAAAAAGCCTACTCGAGTCAACAATCTAAGTATGTATGTACAGATGACGTAATACATAGAGTGGCGACGGGTGAACGTCCTATGCAACTAAAAAGCTAGGAAAATATGGTGACAACATTCCGAACGTGCGACTCGTTCGATAAACATCTCAACCGAGGGGAAATTTAGTGCTGAACGCACATGACAAGTAAAGTAATTGATTGCGACGATTAACAGCTCGAAAACGAAGCAGAAAATTGACAAGAAAATCTACGGTAATCCGTTACACGCTCTACAAATAGCTACAAGCTTTTGCCTGTTTGTCGATACGACGTCGACCATATTTTCTTCTATTTTATATCATATATATTTCTCTCTCTCTCTCTCTCTCTATATATATATATATATATATATATTTTTTTTTTCTATTTTATAACAACGTTCACCTAAGTATTACCCTCGAATATTTAAACAAATCGAAGAAGCCAGCTCGAACAGAAATCTGTTATTTAATATATGCAAAAATCTGTCATTAACGTTTTATAGTTTTTCTATCTAATGGAAAAAAGTATTCCAAAGTACGAGTCAGTTTTCGTCCTTGGTCGCCGCGCTATCGTTGTAAACAACGAATCGCGTTGGGAGCGTTCGCAGGCGGAAAAGAGAAATCATGCGCGCCACCGTTTCCTTGTCGATAATAAAGAACACGCCGGTGTGCAACGGTGCCAAGAAATCAAATACCGTATACAATTGTCTTATTGGGAGTCGTTTCTCGTTTTAACCCGAGAAATTCTTTAACGCTGCCACGTGCTGCTCTACGGTGCCAGATCCGCGAGGCGCGCGTGCGCGTCAAAGGCCGAAAGTAAACAATTAGTATATCTACGTAGAGTACTTACTCCACCACGGCATTCGTCATGTTGGCTCTTTCTGTCACCACCTCGTGACGATTGCCCGAATAACGTTAAAAATTATGTACAGGTTATGTGTGTACGGATATATGTATGTATATATATACTATATGTATATTTCTAATATCACAGTCGGTCGATCACAATGCTGCAATCACTGCGCGGACGAAGCTCGCACGGTTCATCGCCTCTCTTCTTTGTTTTCTCTCCGTCCTCGTCGCTCCGTTTTCTTCTCTCCTCCACGGACTAGCAATTTACGCCACTACGCTTTATGGAATAACCTTTCTCCCATGGAAAATTCTCGCAGCGCCGATCGTGCGTCCCGTAAAATCCAACGGACGTCTCCTTCCATGGACGCCGTTGTCCGACTATTTTCACCGGTGTTTCACGGATCGACGATCAGGATTGATCCACCGCGAACAACGATCCACGAATAAACGTGGTAAACGCGCTACTTTCTCACGCTACTCGTTCACGTTACGACGCGCGCGCATCGAATGTCTCCGTGACACGCGCCCGCCGTTTATATATGCGAACGGGCACCTCGGCGATGGGGGAAGACGCGCGAATTTTGTTATCGCGCGCATGCGCCCCTCCTACGGCCGCGAGCTTTCTCGAGAGCGTACATCTTTTTCTTCGTCGTTAACAGGTATTTTAAACGAGCGTTCTCGCTTGGAGATTTCGAATGATCTTCAGGGGGTTCGCGAATAGTATTTCGAGCAGGTGCGACGATCCGTTCATTTCTGAGGGGTTTGTTATTATTTTAATGAGGTTACGAGGGTGGATTAAAAGATGGCGCCTTTCGTAAACTGCTTTTCGTTCGCGTTTCGTGCATTCATTCTTAACATTAAGTCCACGCTGCGCCGCCTCTGTTTCACTGGAAATTATCGATATATATATGATGAGTATATATATCGATAATATTATATATAGTATTATATATATTATATATATTAATTAATTTATTATTATATATATTATATTATATATATATTATATATAGTATATTGTGAGTATATATATATATATACTCAAGCATACGTTATAATAATAATAATAAAATGATAAAAATTCTAAATAAATTCTACGTTGTAATTCAGCCGTTAAACGGAGTTAAAAGGGCGGGTCAAACGGTGCTTTTTTTTAATGCGTCACCTTCGCACCGATTTTTAAAGTGATTCAATCGATTCGATCGATCCGCGATGGTATGTTATTCCGCAGCTGTCGAACGGATCTTCGATTAATTCGAATGAAAATCGTATAAAATATTGTCGCCAGAAAATATGTACGTCGGATCGTGGTTCGGTGGACCGGCCTGTTTTACTGTTTTTGACGGCGCACCGTTGGAAAATAGAACGTCGGTGTTTGTTCAACAGGCTTACAAAATAAAACTCGCGCTGCCTCAAGATCACGCGACGGCGACGCATCGTTCCCGATTTTTGTCTCCCCCGGATCCAATACAGCTGCGCGTCCTCGTAATCTACAGCCGAATCGATAAGAACAATCACGAGGATTTGATCGTTTGTTTATCTGAGAAAAATAGTGCCGTATCGCTGGGCGGTTCTACAGACTCGTGACTGAATTTGTCACGATTGTTGTTCGTGAAACGCGATACCGGCGTCGGCCCGTTCGACGTTCAGCCCCGCGAATCGCGATAAAATATCCGCGCAGAGTGAAAGTGATTGTCACTCGATGGAAATGTTGCTCGCAAGTGGTGCGCGCGTTTCGCAGGGTCGAGACGCGAGCATTTCTTTACACACACCAGTAACGATTTTTCTGAAAGAACCGTAGTACGGAGAGGTGTCCAAATAATGTAATTATCCGACAATCTAAAAATTAACCCTTTCAGTGCCGGGCGAGAAAGAGGCGCTTATGCGAAGGATAACCGGCCGAATTTCACGATTTTACTAGGATTTCGAGAAAGGCTCATCAAAACTAAACGAAAAGCAATATTTACATAATTGAAAAAGCAGTGTATAGAGAATAAAACGGTGACGCTAATTTGTTCTCTCGCAATGAAATTAGACTATTTGTAATGTATTTATTTATTTATAACCCGCTACAAGGTGCGGAACGATATATCGGCTCTGGCATTTTTCGCCAGTGTAGCGAGGGCGATATATCGCTCTCCGACACTAAAAGGGTTAATATAACGTAATTGTTACAGTTCAACGTTCAGCCTATCGAGCACTTTTCTTTTCAGTTTTCGATAGACGCGTGTCGTTTCGTAAGAACGACAAGATCGAATTTATTTGAACTTTCGACAATTCAGTTTCTCTGCGGCGAAAATTCTCGCGGTTTCGATCATTGAAAATCAGTCAACGCGAAACCGAGTATGTGCATTTGTAACGGTGCGACAGATTTAAAGTGAACAGCGTGCTTAACAATGTAATAAAATATCATTATCATTTCATCCGCAGAAACCGTTAGCCCGATAACGTCAGCACGTCGACGTTCACTCTCTGAAAAACGATCGTCCCTCGTAACGATTTTGAAATTGTCCAAAGGGACACTAACGAAATTCGGGAAAATTAGCGAAGAACGTCCAACAATGGAGGAACAGGGGAACGCGTTTGTCCCGAATGTTGGAACGGCGTTACGGATGAGGGATCGGCTACGCGTCCCGTTTACGGCTCATATTTTTAAACGCCGATGACTCATCGGGATCCTAAGCAAATGAACGAGGTCGTAAACGCGGTGCAATTAGATTTTCCCGTGGCCGAAACCGCTCGGTGAGTAATTTTCACGTCGGAAGACACCTGTGCGCGCGAGCCTTTTATCCTATCACGGTCGTCGATCAGCCGTGATCGATGCCTCGGAAACTTCGGAACGCCCGGGATCGATGGCTCTCGTTCGCGCATTACATTACACATTGACCCTAAATGATTCATTTCGAACGACCCCGTATTCCGGAAACGGAGCGGAAACGTGCTCGAAAGAGAAATATACCATGGCAACTGTTATCGGTCTCGTCGATTTGCGGACGATGTGTGACGCGTCCCGCGCACAATAGAATCGTCAGAAAAATCTGACCGAGACGATAAACTCACCCTTTTACAGCGAAACAATTTAATCGTCGCGGATGACGTTTTTACAATGGGTTTCGCGCGGCTTAATTACTGTTTGCGTGAAACGCCTCTCACCTTCTCGCGAAAACGTTCGTTTCGCATCGTAATTTGATTTCGTCGAGCAATCACGCGAACTGTCACTGATTAAGCCTCTCACGATTGAACGTTTTCATAAATATAATATATATATATATATATATATATATATATATATTATATTTATTATATTATTAATATAATATTATATATAATTAATAATATAGTATTATATATAATATAATATTATATATATATATATTAATAATAATATTATTATATTATTATATATATAATATATATAATAAATAAAATAATACTATCGACGATGTTTATAATCATTCCGAGCATTGTTCAGCAATTTTTCAATATATATTTTTCAGGATATTTTCTGCACACTTATTTAGCCTTTCCGTTGTTCTTAGTGTAACAGCAATTTATTTGATTTAATTGACGAAAATTGAGTAATTACGGTTTAAATACTTCGGGTCAAAATTGACCGCAGCCACTGCCGCGCGAGGGTTAATCCACTGAACACGAAGTTCAATATTTATCGTATACGGGTTAGGGAGCCCATCGATGACGTAAGTGACACGATAGTAGCAAAAGCGCAGTATTAAAACATAGAAGGAAGAACATAGAAATAAGATGTGAAAACGTGAGGATATATAAATTAATTAATGAGATTAATTAAAATGATGAAACTCTATATTAAGCAATGATTTCAGCCGATCGGTCTTCCAGTCTTCACGCACTCACGACGTTCTCGAATAAGAAATCCTTCGGGTCTACACAACAATTAATAAACGTTTTCACCGTTTTCTTGTTAAATAATCGAGAAAGATGGAAACTTCCACGTACTTTGCTTGTCTGTTTAACACTTCGACTGCCACCACCCCGACAACCTCAGAGATTTTGTGAAATTATCATTTAATTAAACATTATAATTTTATTTAATTAAATCGACACCGAAAAGTTAAGTTATACGACATTGATTGCTTTTCCAATATTCGTAAATTTTCCTTTCCTACTCGTTCCTGATTAAATTAGGGGCGTACGTACAATAAGATCCGCGTGACAAATTTACTTCCAAATCCGGAGCAAGCAATTCCGTTTTGAGAATAATACGCACACTTTTTCAGCCGCGTGTACGTGTTTTTCGATCGATCCTCCACGAATCAGAGTGCAGTTCGAACGAGTCGGTCTTACGGGCACCGAGCTTAGCGTAGCAAGCCACAGGACGATTATCAATAATTGCCATGGATTTTACGGTCGAATCGGTCGATTTTGATGGTACTCACCCGTCAGACGTGCCCTCGTTCGTAAAGGTCTCGTAATTTCTGTTCGCGGGCATGGTTCTCCGCGGACTGAACAGGTTTCGCGTACAGTTGCGGTCGATTAAATTATTCTCTAGTGGTTTATCGGTGCCCGTGTCACGAGTTTCTTCGTATCAAGACTCGCAGTCATGTGCTCCCGCTGTCTTGTTCGTCTTGTTTTCTACAATTTCGCTTATTTTCAGGCCGATCGTCCAATGTCTTCACTCCGCTCGCCTCCGCTTGCCTCCGCTTGCCTCGAGCCACCTACAAAGTTCCATATTTTATCAGAAATCCGACTATGACGACACGAAATAGTGCTCGGAAGCGATCGCTTTGTCCGTCGGAATCATACTTCAATTTATAGTCAATTCTCCCTAATCGATGCTCATATTCTGCACAAAAATGGACAATTTGGCGAGAGGAGAAGGTTTATTCGACTTCTGCGGCTCGTTTTTATAGTTACTGAAAGGCTCAAATAATTACTAGAAATAATTGCTAGAATAATTACTAGAAAGGCTCAAATAATCGTATCATTTCCTCTCCTTCAATTGCTCATTTTTGTATATGTAGATGTTGAGCGTCAATTAGGGAGTTCAGTAAATGAGTAAATTCTCCCTAATTGACGCTCAGATTGTACGCAAAAATGGACAATTTTGGAAGAGGAGATACGATTATTTGAGCCCTGAGGCTCGTTTTTATAATTATGAACAGCTATAAAAATAAGCTATATTAATATAGCTATATTGATATAAACAGCTATAAAAATAAGCTGTATTAATATAGCTATATTGATATAAACAGCTATAAAAATAAGCTGTATCAATATAGCTATATTAATATAAACAGCTATAAAAATAAGCTGCATTAATAGAGTTATATTAATATAAATAGCTATAAAAATAAGCTATATCAATATAGTTATATTAATATAAACAGCTATAAAAATAAGCTGTATTAATATAGCTATATTAATATAATCAGCTATAAAAATAAGCTATATCAATATAACTATATTAATATAAACAGCTATAAAAATAAGCTGTATTAATACAGCTATATTAATATATACAGCTAATATAG